TCGTCAGTGAAAATATTGTTTTCCATATAGACTAGATGGGGTCGAGTGTAGCAGTTAATTTCTAGAGATGTTGTTCTTAGTAGTCTGGTGTGGGTGGAGGCGAACAGGATTTGTCCTACTGTTTCAATAGGTAAATCCTCATAGCATTTGTCGTTTACTCTGTGGTCTCAGTAGACAACATTTGGTGTTATCTCTGCACACGGAGAGACCATTAATACTTCTCCTGTCTTTATTGCTGTGATGTTATTTGTTTGGAGTAGTAGGCGAGCTGCCATTGCGGAGTCGACGTCGGCTACGCTAGTGATATAGCTTAAAAACTCATTGCTTAGTTCGCAGCGCTGTTTTATAGCTTTTGCAAAGTTAGTTTTTATTTCTTGTTGCAGTTTATCATGTAAGAACTGCAACTTATGGTTTGTGGGGTCAAAGTCTTTGTCTGCAGGCTGCTTTTATAGCATAGTGCGGTTTAGTGGAGGTAGGGAACTGTTTTTTAAGGTTCTAGAGTCTATGGTTTTTATGTCACCTCCTAACATACCCCAGGCGTCTGTCAATTTACAATCTTTTTGAACGCGTTTAGTTGGTTCTTGGTCTACTTTAAATGTGAAGACGGTTTGTAGTGAGTTTACGAAGATCTTATCGTTGAGTACTTGTGCTTCGTATTGTCCATCTTTCTCATATTCGCATTGTTGTTCCATTCTGTGAGTATTCCATACCAACAAGCTGTCACGTAGACGGCACGTACCTAATGACGGGCGGCAGCCTCTAGCGTCACCAAGTGTCGTTATGACGTGCTTGTCGTCTATTGTGGCAGCCGTTCCTGCTTGTAGGTGGAGATTAGAGGTGGTATGGCAGGATGAGCCCATCCAAGCGTATGAGTATTGAACTGGATGCTTACTGGACCAAGAGTCATTAGTTATTTTTTCTAAAGTTATACTTCCCCAATGTTTATTGCTGATAAGTTGCTGACAGACGACGCTGCTTATTGGTGCTTTTGTAGTTTCATCTTTAGTCACGGCTAGGGAGATTAGCAGGAATGTCTTTGTACAGACTTCTCTGGAGACATTGAAGCAGGAGAATGCTTCGGCTTCTCTGAGGTTTCTTGTGTATAACGTAATTATTGCCTCCATGGGTAACTTCTCGGGGCTAACCTCGCAGTCGGTTGGCTTTGGTATAGCGAACAGTGTTCCAGTTTCGTTAGAGGACACCAGTGGAACGTGGTGAGGTCTTCCTTTGCGGATTGAGCTGGTAGGATTATGCAAGCGGCGAGGATCAAGGTAGCAAAGGTGCATCGCAAATTGGCTCTTTGTGGTTTCGGGGAGAGAAATGTGGTGGTTGTATGACATGCTGTCTGTGTACGGTTTTTGGCTATAATGTTTATGCTTTCCGCTTGCAGGTTACTGTCCGCTGGGTTTAGAAGTGGGTTTTGCGGTTTGCGCAATACTTCTAGTGAGTATAAATGATTAACTGACCGTTGTATTACTCGGCCGTTAGGGAATTTGAGCTGCGCTGTTCTGACATGTTTGTCCTGGCTAT